TATATTGGCTGCTATGTGCTAATGAACAACTTTGATCATATTTACATACTTCACTGGGCTCTGCCTCCCGACTTGAACCGGATCCTCCTCTCATGCTGTGTGTCTGGATCACACATGAGCCCTGAGCCTCTCTAAAGACAGTGTGAGGACATCCGGGTGCTGTCAGGAATACTAGGTGCTGCTGCTGGGGCTTGTCCTTCTTAGGCTGTGGCTAGAATCTGCAGTATTAACAGCACATAAAGATGGTTTACTTACCTGTGCTGGATTCAGAGGAGAACTTGAAGGTGAATTTTTGTCACACAATGGCCTGGATCAAAGAAACAGTCTCCCCTTCTGATCTCATTCCAAATGAAGCAGGAGGTTGGAATCCACATCTGACCCCTCTCTGCTTCCAGGCCTCAATCTCTTCCCAGGGTGCAGATGAAAAGAACGTGGGTCAGCGCTGCCTTGTCAGGAGTGATTTTTAACCTTAATGGAACATTATGAAAGAGGGGATTTGAAACGTACGGAATGTTTTTTGAACTCCTTTTGTGAACAGAGTTCATAGGCGAGGGAAAGCATTCAAGGCACTCTGTGGGCTTATAAACGATCTTTTACACCATGACCAAGTTCTTGGTTTTAGCGTTTTCAGGCCATCTGGAGGTGACTGCTTGTGATTCACCTCCTGTTAGAAGAAGAGGTTCTTAGTGCCCCTGTAGTCCTGGTTCACTGACTGAAGAAAGATCCTCAAGCCAGGATCCTATATAGGTTCTGGTTCATGTCCTGGATATTCCACTTCCCATACAGCTCCCTGCTTGTGATCTGGGAAAACTTTAGGACCATGCATCTGCATGGGAGACCCAAAAGAGGCTCCTGGTTTGTGGCTTCAGATGGGTTTAGCTCAAACCATTGTGGCCATTTGGGGAGTGAACCAACAGTTGGAAGATCTTTCTCTTTCTTTCTATAAATCTGGCCTGCCTTTCCAACAAAAGAAAATAAATAAACTTTTTAAAAAGTCAAGGGACTGGCATAGTGCCGTATTAGGCTAAGCTTCCTCCGGGGATGCTGGCATCCTATAGGGATGCCAGTTTGAATCCTGGCTGTTTCCCTTCCCATCCAGTTCTCTGCCAGTGTGCCTGGGTAGACAGCAGAAGATGGCCCAAATGCTTGGGCACTTGTACTCGCAAGACAGTCTAGAAAGAAGCTCATTGCAGCCATTTGGGGAATGAACCAGTGGATGGAAAATTCTACCTCTGTGTCTTTCTTCTCTCTGTGGTACTCTGTCTTTCAAATATTTTTTAAATTAATTAAAAAAAAAACCTCCATTTAGTCTACCAAGTCCTGTGTTGGTATGCTTAAGTTCCAGCTCTGACTTTGTTTCTGATTACAGCCACCTGTTGATAATGCAATCTGGGAGATAGCAGACTTGTGGCCCAAGATACTTGGACCGCTGCTACTCAGGCAGGACCTGGGTTGAGTCCCTGACTCCTAGCCAAGCTGCTATAACCATCTAGGGAGTAAGCCAGTATATGGAAGATAGCAATCTCTCTATGTCTCCAAAAAAGGAAGAAAAAAAAAAGCCCAGCAGATGGCTGAATTGAAATATATAAAGGTTAGTTGTGTAGGAAGACATTGCCATGTGCTTTAACTGCTGCTATATGCACTGAACGCTCCATAAATATGACAAATAAGTGTATTTTATGCTCCCTCGAAGGAACATTCTGTAGCAATTGTGTTTTTAATAGAGCAGTGCTATTCCTGGTTGTGTGGGTGTCCATCTTGTTTGTTCTTTCTTGGGGCTATACTGTTGGACTGGTGCTACCTTTGTCACCTCACCTACATGAGACTTCAAGATAAATGTCCATATATCTTTTAAAAATGTATTTTATTGGCCCCTGTGCGGCAGCCTAGCAACTGAAGTCCTTACCTTGAATACACTGGAATCCCATGTGGGTGCTAGTTTTAATGCTGGCAGCTCTGCTTCCCATCCAGCTCCCCGCTTGTAGCCTGGGAAAGCAGTCAAAGACAGCCCAAAGCCTTGGGACCCTGCACCCATATGGGAGACCTGGAAGAGCTACTGGCTCCTGGCTTTGGATCAGCTCAGCTCCAGCCATTGTGGTCACTTGGGGAGTGAATCAGTGGATAGAAATCTTCCTCTCTGTCTCTCCTCCTCTCTCTCTATCTGCCTTTCCAATAAAAATAACATAAATCTTAAAAAAAAATAAAGAATTGGGACTTGAACCAAGATACTCCAAATGGCATGATAGCATTTTAATTTGCAGGCCCCAATGTATCGTTTTCTATTTTGTATTAACAGACTTTTGGGGGAATGGTCAGCTTTTTCTTTTTCTCATCATCCATGGGAAAGTAATTGCCAAAGCCACTCACAAGCACTATAAATAAGTATGTGTGTATATATGCACAACCACCATATGTATGTATATGTGTATATTATTTATACATGTATACATGCAATATGTATGTAAATGAGAGAGAGAGATTTATTTTTGTTGGGAAGGCATGTTTAAATAGAGAAGAAGAGAAGAACAGAGAGAAAGATCTTCAATCCAGCGTTTCCCTCCCCAAGTGACCACAGTGGCTGGAGCTGAGCCCGTCTGAAGCCAGAAATCAGGACCTGTTTCCAAGTCTTCTATGTAGGCTTTGGGCCTTCCTCTGATGCTCTCCCAGGCCGTAAGTAGGGAGCTGTATGGGAACTAGAGCATCCAGGACGTGAACATGTGCCATTTGGATGCCAGTGTTACAAGAGGGAAGATTAGCCAATTGAGCCAACACACTGGCCCCATCCACCATATCTTTTTTACTGTATTTTATTATTATTATTATTATTATTATTATTATTTTATAATGCAGTTGCATAGGATTTGGTTTCCCCTCTCCCCTCCCCAAATTCCCTCACTGATTTTCCCCATCACCATTTTTTAAAGATTTATTTATTTTTATTGCAAAGTCACATATGCAGAGAGGAGGAGAGATAGAGAGGAAGATCTTCCATCCACCAATTCACTTCCCAAGCGGCCACAATGGCCGGAGATGAGCCAATCCGAAGCCAGGAGTCTGGAGCTTCATCCCAGTTTCCCTCGCAGGTGCTGGAACCCCATCTGCCATCCTCAAATGTTTTCCCTGGATGCAAGCAGAGAGCTGGGTGAGAAACAGGGCTGCTAGGGTTAGAACCGGCGCCCACATGGGATCCCAGCGCATGCAAGCCGAGGACTTTAGCCACTAGGCTTTCATGCCAGGCCCCACCATATTGTTTCAAAGAGAGAAAGAAGATAGGCTCATAGGGAAACAGGGAATGATATGGACATTTTCTTATGAACTAAATAGCAGTGCCTCTTTGTGGATACTACAACCCATTTTGAGTTATAACGTACATTATTACTGTGTGAAACAGTAGAAATAAGGAAATTGAGGTAACATTTTCTATCAGAAGCATGGTTTCATAGTAGGGCAAGATAGTATTTGAGATATAATCATGGGTTATAAAAGGAAACAGATTGCTCAATAACACCACTGATAAAGGATTCCTAGTCATTTGCTTCCTTTTTTCCCCCATTTCTTCCTTATCTCCCAGGTAATATCACCTAATTGTCATGTCTGCTATCCTGAGGTTAAACAGAAGGAAAGGAGCAGTTAAAAGCCCTTTTCTTTCAGCCGTATGAAGCATGGTTGTGATGCAGGCAGGTATCACTCAGAGTGTGAGAGTTTATTTCCCTTTCCAGGAAACTGTATTCTGCCCCTTTTTCTAGAGTTGTGAAAATGTCTCCCAGGTGAGGACCCTTGACAGATGCAACTATATGGTAACTTGAAGGTCAACTTGAGTGGGTTCCCAGAAAAAGAGTGCATCTTGATTCCAATATCCCAAAGTATAACATATTCAGAAGAGATAGAGGACAGGACAGAGAAGGAAGATGTTAAATATCAGTAGTAGAAGAGTGTAGGTGAGCATTAGAAGTCTACCTTAGAGCCAGACTCTACTCCAATTAGAGCTCTTAAAACGTAGATGTTATACACTGACTCAAAAATTACTTTGGGATCAGAAAGGAGAATGGCTGCGTGTCTACTGTTGGGTACAGGAGGTGGTGAGGAACAAATGATTCTTTCCCAGTTCAAAATAAATTCCACAGGTTAATAGTGGTGTAAGTTTGTGAAAATGAGTGGCGATGGATTCTTAAGTCGTGTGAGATGAGCTAATTGGGAAGGGGAATGGGGTCTCAATTATAAACAGTAAATTGTATGAAATGCAAAGATCCCTATGCCAAGGCCAAAGTGATTTCTCTCCTTTGTTGTCACCAATGACAGTAATAAAGCAGAACTATTTTCCTTTAAACCAAGAGGTAATTCGTTTAAAGGAACTGAAGTCAACTCAGACTTTTGGGAAATGACCTAATCGTTCTTTTGTGCAGACTAGACACTGACTTGCCCTTAGCCGTGGCATTAGCCATAGCAAATCTGAGAGGTCACCCAGACTCTGCCTTGTGGGTCTTTTCTCATCACAGACGGAGCAAAGAGGAGAACGGTCCAGAAGGTGCCAACCCTCCCTGGTCATGAGCAGGGGCTGCCGTGCTTGAAATTTTGTGAGGAAACACTACCCAAATCCCATTCATGGTTTCTGCCTTTGACCGCCTGTCTTGTTGGTGGCTGGAAATGTGTGCCAGCTGTTGATAGATGGGCGGGTCCACGTGTCTCGTCTCCTCCATTTCTCTGGCCACTGCTCAAGTTTTCAGGATTGCACTGCAGACAGTGATCAAGATGAGAGTTCCTGTTCCACCGCAGTTATTTTTGGCAGCTATGAGCAATCCAAGGCCTTGGTTTTTGGCACTGTGTGGTTGAGATATTAGGTAACCTCTTCCTGTGCAAGTAGAGACAAAGAGGATTGTTAACCTGCAGGCACACATCCATCCAGTGACCATTTTCACAACCTTCTGTTTGCCCTTTGTTCCTGGTAAGAGATGACCATGGAAGGCAGGATGCTCATTAAGTGTATATTTTTTCCCCCTTAGATTGAAAACATAGATGCCTGCTTGAATTTCCTGGCAGCTAAGGGAATCAACATCCAGGGGCTGTCTGCAGAAGGTGAGTTAGATGCTTATCCTGGAGCTACCTTTTCATCATTGGAAATGCCCACCTGCTGCGTGTTGATGACCTGAACAAAGCGAAGAACATGGGGACCGGTGGGATGTTCTGGTTTTGTTTTCCTTCAGGCAGCTCAGTGCTTGCCTAGACTTGAGGATGCCAACTTTATGACAACCCAAAGAATCAACCAACCCAAAAGTCTTGCTTGGGCAAGACTTCAAGGCAGAAGAGAAACAGGAGCTGGCCCTGTGTGAGAAGGGATGTGGGAACAAGGCTGATTTGATATACAGGCCTGCTGATCATTATGAAGCAGGTCTTACCTGTGTGAGAGAAAATACTACATGTCAAATGTCTCTAAATTGTACAGAGGCCCTGAAGAAATATGTACTCCTTATCTCTCACTTGTTAGAAGCACCAACAAGTTTGCTTGCTCAAAGAAAAAAATAATGAGAGAAGGAATGAAGTGATTTAGTCATACAATGCTTCATTTTTATAGCCTGATTGGTTTTTAATTAACTTAAATTTGTAGGCTAATAATTAGTGTGTTAACATTTGTGGGTCTTCATTATGGAATGTTGGATAGGAGATGGCTGATCTGAAGTCTCAGCCTCCTCAGGCAACCTCTCAACCTAGAAACTTTCACTCTCTCCTGTTTGTCAACATGAGCAGCTGCCAGCTCAGAAGCTGCCATAGGCCCCGGCAGCCTCCCAAACTCATTAGGCTGCACCTGCCTCCAGTTTTCCCAAAGCAGGTAAAGCAGTTTGGGCTTCAGATGGTACCACTGTGCCCTAGCGAGGTTACCTTTGAAAAAGCTTCATATTACTCTGGACCTCAGTGGTCAGGGTCAGGCCAAAAGAAGCTGTGAAGAGGGAGGCAACCAAATGGGACAGGTGAGTTTACAAACAGTGGGTACTGTTGGTGTCTCTTCCTTGCATTTGCTGTGCTGCATAGTGAGAGCTTGGTTTTATTGGCTGCATGTCTGAGCTGGCATCTGTTCTGGAATTGGGTTTGGGTGGTAAAAATTGCCACTATGTGGGAACTCCTGAATGTGTCATGCCCTTAGTGGAATTGCTGAAATTCCCAGATTGGGAGCTCTAGTTACATGCCAGGTTTGACCACATTGCTAGAGTCTCAGAAACACTTGTGTTATTGTCAGCCCTGCTTCCAGTTCTGAAAGCAGGAAACTTGTAGGACTCTCCTACCTTATGGGATATAGTGAGGTTGGAGCCGACTGGCACCTGGAATACATGTTGTTGGGATTGGTGATGATGGCATTCAGTGAAGCACATAAAGTTGTTCTGGCTAGATAGTACTTGTGCTGCCAGGGCAGGGCATGGTCCTCTCAGTCCTGGGACTGTTTGGATCCCAGGGACAAGTCTGCAAAATAAACAAACACAAATACACATACATGCACACATGTCTGTGCTGCATACACATACAAACCTGTGCTACATGCATACACAGATAGGCCTGTGCTACTCAAACACACATGCACGGACAAGCTTGTACTACACACACACTCTCACACGCCCCCCTCCCTGCCCTCACCAGCAAGGACTTTGAGTCCTTTTAGAGTCTGAGTGTAATTAGCAACAAGGCTTCTAGGGAAGCCTCTGCAGGTCCTCTGGCCCCTCAGCAGTCAGTCCTGCTCTGCCTCACTTGTCCTGCCATCTGCTCCACCTTCTCCTTACCCCAAGGGACCTGGAATCAATGCTGTAGTTGTTGAGGGTGTAAGCACCAACCAGGCTTTTAAAGATTGTATCGGTATGAGTTCCAGTTCCCACAACTGAGGCTGTAGTTTTTTTAACAGCCTCCATTTACAAGGGAGGCACTTTGCCTAAAGAAGTTGTGAATGATAATCCTGGGACACATTGCTAGAGAGGGGCAGTAATCCCATGACTTAAATCCAGGTGTGGAGGTTTCAGATGGCTAACTTGTGAGTGTGCCATGTAGAGAGAAATCAGACTGAACTCTGTTACCTGGAACATGGAGAAGGCAGTGTGTGATCTAAGGAGGCATGTCTGAGGAGAGATCCTCATCTCTCTGCCCTTTCTCCATATGGACATGACCCTTGTTATCTCTGGTTCAATGTGCTGGGGAATCAGCAACCTGGGCAGAAGTGTTTAAACCACTGTGAAGTGGTTTTAAAGAATTTCTGTAACTGCCTTCCCCTTGTACTGTTAAACCCCCCTTGTTTCCTGCTGGGTTGAGTTCCACTTAAATGATAGAATTCATAACTCTTTAATTGTATTATTAGAATAATTTTATGTCCACTGTGTGACTCATTATTGTTTATTTCTTCAAGAAACTTTTAAAAAATATTTGTTCATTTGACTGGAAGAGTGGCAGAGAAAGCGATTTTGAGGAAAAGCTAGAGAAACATCTTTGATATGCTGGGTTCAGATGCCTACAAGCAAAAACTATGTCTGCTTCTCCTCTATGGGTGGCAGGGACCCAAGCACTTCAACCATGCTCCAGTGCCTTCTCTGGTGCATTAGCAGGAAGTTCACTAGGAAGCAGAGGAAGTAGGACTTGAACCAGCACTCTGATGAAGGATGGTTGCATCACAAGCAGTGGCTTAACCACTGTGCTACAACACATGCTCTGCTCCCAAACCCCAAACTGTACTCATCTTCCCTGTATCATTCCACGTGAGTGGCTATAGATGCTTGGAAAGGGTGATGGATATAGTTGCTGGACGTCCTTGCAGGACTGGGGTACCACAGGGAAGAAAGTCATCGTCCCTCTCTTGGATATCCATAACTGCCACTTGAAGGGCAGCATGTCCTGCTGGCTGGGTCTAATTCCTGGGCTGCTCTGAGCACTGCAGTCTTTTATGAGATCTGGCCAGCTCTTTCACCTCAATTCTTGGTCCCTCCAGAACCTGCCACAGATGCAACAGAAACAACTGGGCTCCATTCCATTACGCATTGCAGAGAGTAACATACTCCGTATCACATGACAGCAGCTCCCTGCCCTGTTACACAGTCACTGTATCCTTTCCCCACAGTCCTGTGGCCTGTAAGGCAGCTCTCAGTCAACTCTCTAATAACAACTTTGGAGTGAGACACCAGGCACCCCCACTTTCAGCAGTTTTTGGTACCTCTTAACTTCAGGTAGCACAAGGACCCCACTTTTATGTTCCTTGGTGGGGGAAAGAAAAATCTTCTCTCCATGATCATCTACCTCTGTCCCCCAAAAGTGATGTTCTGTCATGTAGAGCTTCTTACACTGATGTTGTTGGGAACAGTGAGAGCAGGACTGGTTATAAGATTGATGTTTATGTAGGAAGGTGTCTGGCCTCAAATTCTGTCACCTCCTAATATAAGGGTAGTTTTATTCTCAAGTTGGGTTTTCTCCACAATTTCAGGGCACATGGAATATATTGCTTCCTGTTAAATTATTGGAAGAAAATCCATGGATTGAAAACCTTCCATGAGCTTAGCATCCAGCTAAGCACTGTGCAAATTTGTATCTTATTTAATTCCTGAAGTCATTGCAAGTTTTATTCCTGTAAAAAACAGAGGAGGAAAACAAGATGTAAAGAGGTCAGGTTATACATGAGAGAAAGGAGGACCACATGTTGGGCAGTGGCTAAGCTGTTTGCCTCTGCTATTTAAAGACCTGCTGTTTCTGTTGTTCTCTACTGCCCATCTCTAGCCACCTACAGAACTACTGGAGAAGCATCATACATAGAGTTTTTTTCTTAAGGATTTATTTTTATTATTTTTTTTTATTGGAAAGGCAGATATATAGAGAGGAGAGACAGAGAGGATGATCTTCTGTCCAATGATTCACTCCCCAAGTGAGCGCGACGGCTGATGCTATGCAGATCCAAAGCCAGGAGCCTCTTCCGGGTCTCCCACGCGGGTGCAGGTTCCCAAAGCTTTGGGCCAGCCTCTGCTGCTTTCCCGGCCCACAGGCAGGGAGCTAGAAGGGAAGCGGGGCTGCCGGGATTAGAACCAGCGCCCATATGGGATCCCGGGCATGCAAGGCAAGGACCTTAACCACTTGTGCCACCGTGCCGGGCCCCATACATAGAGTTTTAAAAAATCATGTCATTTTTAATGCTTTTTGTTTTCCTTTTGAAGATGATTGAATACCCTGAGGCTCCACCTCTGATTTAAAAAAAAAAAAATGGCAGTTGGAAAGCTCCAGAGATACATCTTCCACTCCTGCACAGTGACTCAGGCTCAAATTGGCGCTCAGGAGGGAGTGTGCACCTGTCCTTGATATGTTTTCAGCTGCTGAGGCCTGCTCCATTTGCCTGTTCAAGGGCCTTTGTTCTAAGGCACAGATGGCAGGTGCTGGGGCCAAGGTTGAAGGCCTTGGGGAAACAGGTAGAGATGTGACTGTTTGGGAACTTCCTAGATTAGTTCTCCCTGCCCCACTTCAGGAGTCCTGAACCTTGAACCCCCGTATATTTTCTCTTGGAGTCTTGCCAGATTCCAATGAGCTTGGGTCTCCCACTGTCTTGGAGTGATGTTTGAGATCCACCCCCAGAATTTTTGCAGTCCACACTTTACCAGTCTACAGATCATCCACAAACCTGTGCCTGTGAGGAAGATGGTCTTCTCATTTTTGCTATGTGCCTCTCAGTCTGTCCTGTAATAGAAAAGGGCAGAGGTCTCAGATAAGGCAGATTCTACTGCATGCAGCAGATATGTGCTGGGCATAGCACTTGGTGCTGAGGAGCACAGAAAATGGAATTAGTCAAGTAGTTAGAGAGCTGTGCTGATGCTGTGTGCTCAGGACCCTGTGAAGATCAGAAACAAAGTGCTCTTCCTGGGGCAGTCTAGGCAGCCTCCTAGAGGCATGGTGTTTCTCTGGGTTTTACAGAAGGGATATGTCATCATTGGACAGGAAAGAAGGTAAGGGGCATAGGCAGCAGGATGGGGCAAAGGGCTGGCTTTTTCTCACCCTTGCAAAATGGAGAAACTCAGGCAAGAAGATCCTTCTGCATGACTTCTTGAGCTAGTGAGTATATGCTTTTGAAGGGAAATTAGTTACAAACCTGATTTGCTCAGTCTTAGATTGGAGCCCTAATGGTCAGAGACCTAGGATCTCTTCTACAAAATGGAGTTTTTGATGCCAGAATGTTGCAGTGGCTATGCCTTTGTCAAACAAGCCTGAGGTTTTTCTTTAAAACTGTTGAAACATGAGGAAGCACTGGTGTACCAGGTTCAGCCATTGCTTGGGACACTCGAACCCATTGCGCATATCACTGGGCCTGCCTCTGCTGCTGACCTGTTCCTGTTAATGTGCACCACACGAGGCAACAGGGGATGACCAAGTACTTGAGTCTCTTCCATGCATGTGAGGGAGTTGGGTGGAGTTCGGGGTTCCTGGCTTTGACTCGGCTTTGTCTTGAACTAATCCCAGCTGTTGTGGGCATTTGGTGAGTGAACCCACAGACGTTAGCCCTCTCTAGTTTTCACTCTGTCATTCTTCTTTTCAAATAAATAAAGATCAGTGTTTAAAAAATGTTGAAAGTGATGTTTCGATTTAACTTGCCATGGAGCCCAACATAACCCACAGTATCTAAGCAGACTGGAACCCATCAATGGGAACAAAAAGGTCAGTCAGAACTCATGGGAGATCATGGGGGAACTCAATATTGTCTTTGCAGTTTGTGCTTCAGTTTGTGTTGGGGTGGCCATAAGAAGAGGAAGGAGGACAGGCTCCCACGGCCAGGGTAGCCACCAGCTAGCTGGTCATCATGGAAAGGTCCATTCTCTCCAGGTCTACATCAGTTACCTTCTCGGTCGGTCAGACAAAGGAGGTTAGTTGAGCAGATAGAAATGCTGCTCCTCTTCCAAAGCCTTGTGAAATGTCATGAGGAAAACATTTTTGTGGGCTCCTGGAGTCTGTTTTAGGCTTCCTGTGGAGCTGGCTTACCAGGCCTCGCTATTTTGGATCGTGTCTGTTATAGACCACACATGGCATTCACTGTGTGGCCTTCCAAGCAGTCACCACTCATGCAATTTTGTGATCTGGAAAGAAAATGAAACAGTCCAAATGTCCATCAACTGATGAATGGCTAAATCAAATGTGGTATCCATATAATGAGATACCAGCCAGCAGTACAAACTGATAAAATATTATATCAAGTGAAAGAAGCCAGTTGTAAAAGAGTACATATTGCAAAATCCCATTTATGTGAAATGTTCAGGAAAGGCAAATCTGTTGGAACAGAAAGCTGATTTGTGGTTGCCTGGGAGCAGATTTGGGAATTGATTGCAGTTGAGAATGAGGCATCTTTATGGAATGATGAAAATATTGTAAAACTGGGATTTGTTAAACTCACTAAAAATCATGGAATTATATGCTAAATTTTATGGGTACAAATTATATAATATCTCAGTAAATCTATTTTTAAAACCATAAAGAAGATCCCCATTCTGCTTTCACTAATTGGAATTATTCATGCTTGATTTGTTTTAGGGTACAAGGACTGTGGCCTACAATGGCTAAGCCAGGAGAATGAGCTGCTCCTAAGGCTTCCCCTGAACCTGTACTCAGTTCTGTAAAGGCTGCAGGTGGAGGGAGTCATTTCTGAGCAGGAAGTGAAGCACAGTTTAGCCAGTGTCCTAGGGACTTTGCCTTCGTTATCTTGCTTAAGCCTCACTGAATTCTCATAACAAGCAAGTAGGAAATGTACAGAAGGAATCAGGCTCAGATAGATGGAATCTTGCAAAATCTCCAAGTCGGTGAAGGACTAAAGAGATCAACCCCAGGTTTTTCTGGCTCTGGTTCTCTTTACCCTAAAAATGGTAAGGTGAAAAAGTTCCTTCGGCATTTGGCACAGTGATTAAGTAAAACACCACTGGGGACCACAGCATTGCCTGTCAGAGTGCCTGAGCTTGAGTCCCACATCCACTTCCACTTCTAGCTTCCTGCTAATGTACATCTGGGGAGGCAGCAACTGATGTTCAACCAGCTGAATCCCTTAATTTTATGAGGGAGGTGCAGGTTGAGTTCTGGGCTCCTGGCTTCAGCCTGGTCCATCCCTGGTTTTTATGAGCACTTGGGATGTGAAGCAGTGGATATAAGATCTCTGTCTCTGCCTCTGAGCCTTTCAAATAAAATGGAAATAAACAAATACTAAAAGTCACAAAGGGTATTTATCAGCAGTGCTATGCTCTTTGACAGATAGTGAAAGTTTCAGGAAACAATGAGCAAACAGTCAGGAACAGTAAGTGGCTTACTATGAGTGGCTCAACCTTGGAGGTGGAGACAAGGCTGGCTCTTGTCTGCAGTAGGAATGGGCTGGGAGCTTGTAAAGAGTGCCAGTGTGGATGAACCTGCTTTTTACACTGGGAAGCCTAGAAGTCCCTGGATGTGCTGAGTTACTGATTTCTCCTCTCCTTTTTTCTTTCATAGTTTTAAACAAATATTGTGAAATATTTTATACACCAGAAAAATAAAAAATAAATGCCCTTGAGCTATCTTAAGAAATAAAATCATATCTTGCTTGCTTTTAAGTTCCCTACCCATGATGGGTATACAAGTTTACAACTAGCTTATAGCTAGTGAATGTTCAGTACAGATAGGAAATCATGGTTTCAGTTTTCCTAATTCTATACTGCTGTCAGCCTTGCTCTATGATAAGACCCTGCTAACTCCCAGAGTGAGGCCTGAAGGTTATTTTCCAGAAGTTTTGTGTCCATGTCTTCAAAGGTAGGACATAGCTACACACCAAAAGGAAGTCATTGAACCTGGGAGATCATACGTGGGCTAAAGTGCTGGAGCGGCTGCGTGTTCCTCCATCTATGCAAGGGGCTCATTTCTGAAAGGCCTTGTACCTGTCAACAGGTCTGGAAGGAATGTTTGCGCCTATACTTGCAGCGTCCCCTGGGTTTTGTGCTAACCTGGGGAGTCCAAGCTTCCCTCTCCCAGCCTCTGGCCAGGCCTTGCATACTTCCTTGAGCTTCATGCCCTTCTGTCACCCCTGCCAGTTCGGGAAAGGAAAGCCAGCCCAGGGTGGCAGCAAAGCAGAGTGTCCTGTGCGTGTCTGTCCTCCAGCTTCTTCCTCTTCTCCATTATGCTGGATGTCCACCTGGTCCTTCACCCTCAGAGTCTGTTTAGACTCTGCCCCATCAACATCTGATGTTAAAAGAACCACATAAAAGAAGGGATTGTTCATGCAGAAACCTCTTGTGATCTGTGGACTCTGCCTGTGAATAAATATTTTATTCTTCTCTGCCATTGTCTGAATGCCTCAAGGAAAATGCATTTTTAACATCTGAAAAACTCATCTGAATAGGAGGAATTCTTATTCCTTCTCTGTTCTGGCTTCTTTCAATATAGAAAATATTTTGTGTGAGTCCTTTACATGTCAGCAAACACCTGCAGTCTATCCCTACGTCCAACCCAAATTAGGGTTTTTTTTTTGTTGTCGTTGTTAAGTAGAAAAAGAAGATTTGCCGTGTGAAGTTAGCCCTTGGCTCCCTCCTGTATCTTGAACACAAACCAGGCAGAGCAGCCAAGGATCCAGGGAGTGTCCCTGAGTGTTAGATGGCACCCTTGTCCTTGGACCAATTACTTTGCCTGTGTAACAAGCACAGTCTTGCTTGGGGACGCTTGCTATCTCCCTGGTGTCCTGCCTGAGAATTTTCTCTTGGCCGTTGCCAGGTGTCTAGTTGAAACTTGCCTTGTGTATCCCCTATAATCCCAGTGGGGGAGAATAAGCTTATTTCTTTGTGATTTCAGCCTATTTTTAATTGACTGTGTTATCATGTAAGCATTTCAGGAAGTCTGTCATAGCCTTAAGGAATAAGACTCATATGAGGGCTGCAGCAGCCACTGGATGAATAGGAAAAAGACGCTGCCCCCACCTCACCCTAACCCCACTAACAAGGATCTCTTTCCTGTCTTGCAGAAATCAGGAATGGAAACCTCAAGGCCATTCTAGGCCTCTTTTTCAGCCTCTCCCGCTACAAGCAGCAGCAACAGCAGCCCCAGAAGCAACACCTCTCTTCACCTCTACCACCTTCTGTGTCCCAGGTGACAGGGGCTCCTTCCCAGTGCCAGGGTGGCACCCCTCAGCAACAGGTGCCAGCCACTCCCCTAACCACGTGCCAGCCTCACCAGCCAGCGCCACATCAGCAGTCGAAAGCACAAGCTGAAATGCAATCCAGGTGGGGGCTCCTCCTTGAGCAACAATTATGTTTTACCAGCACCTTCTTTCACTAGAGTCTAACCTGTATTGTGCATGTTTTTCATTCAAGCTTGTCCAATCAATGCTGAATGCTACCAGTAGTCAGCGGGAAATTAGCATGACCTAGAAATGGACACATTGAGGCTGCCTCCCTTGCCCAAAACATGTACTGCTGAATCACCAGCAGCCAAAACCGATTAACTGCTCCTGTCATAACTCTGACCCATTCCACACACACCCTCATGTGCAGTAAACAGCTCCTAAAATAGGCTACAAACCTGCTTTGTGTGCTGGCCTGCAAGCTGGGTGTTCAGTTACGTGTGTGAGTCATTTTACTTAGCAGAGGCAGTAGTTGTGTTCCAGGAGGCATCTCTGTTTTTCCAGAAGAGAAATGCCTAAGGCACCTAAGAGAAGTGGCAAGTGAAGCAGAGGAGGCAGCCACTCCTCTGAGTGGGGCTTGGTTTTGTAGAACCCTGACAGTATTAAATGCTGTCAGAGAGTCTGCCTTGCTGGAGTGAGCTCTTGCTCTGCAAAAATGGGGCCTTGGGTTTTATTAGTGTTCCCAGACACAACTGATGGTTAATCATTGCACTCACCATATGCAGATGTACAAGCTGAGTGCCAAGACAGTGCTACTATGGCAGTAGTTGCATTTGCATTCCTAAACAACTCTGCTGCAAACATTTAATGACAGAAGCAAGGGAGAGGCTTAGAAACTAGAAAGTTTTTTAATCATAGTAAAATTCTACAGACAAGCTGATGATGACTTTTTTGAACAGGCATTAGCTATAACTTCAGAATGTCACTGAACAAACCAATGTCTTCATTTCATCTGTTGTGAGCTAAGCAGTCATGGCCATTTCTCTCAGATCCTCCAGAGCACCAGCATTAAGAATCCTAGGGTTTCTTGTACACTCTTGTTACCTTATATCACCCATTCTAGTTGGGCAAAGCATGAAGCTGCTCAAACATACCAAATCATTACAGCTCTTTGCTCGTGAGAAATTTTCCAAGGGTGATGGTGTGCAAGCCAGCATGAATGGGTGTCATGTAAATAAGACTTCCTAGTTCATTATCTCATTATGAAAAAGTGCAGATGAGGAGATGCCTAGAATTGCAAAGAGAACTAGACAGCCAGGGAGAGAGTCACTGTGCCCTCCCTGCAGAACTGCCTGTGAGGGAGGCATTCCCTGGTTGGAGAATCCCTGATGGGCCTGCATGACTGAATGACTAGGGTACATTTTTCAGGGTACATTCTGCAGAGTGACATACCCTGGATGCTAAATTGGGTTCTGTTGGAGAAGATGGCTTTTGTGGAGGACAAATTGAGAAACCTGGCCTTGTTATTGCAGCTCTCTAGAGGCCCTTGAACCTACCAATGTGCATTCATTTATTTAGTGTAAGTCTATGCCATGCATATTGTAGGCACCTTAGGGCCAATGAAGAATGAGATAGCAAAGATTCCTGCTCTCTCTATACTACTGAAGGAGGCTAGCAAATGAGTAAACAATGGAAGGTAAGGATCAGATAATGGTGAGTGTGAGTATAGCATGCAGAGAAACTGGACCGTTCATTTAGGTTGGGTTAATGGTGAGTCTCCATGAAAGTAGCCAATAAAGGAGTTGTAGGAGGTAGCAAAGGACATCTGAGACACTTGCATGAAGCAAACAGTACTCCCCTGTGACAATCCTAAAGAAACTCGCTTTACCCCTTCATTTCTTCTCACAGTTTACATGGTGGCCATGAACTTAATTCACACTTCACTCCATGACACCCCTCTTTCCTATCAAGGGGCCCTGAGATAAGCATTGGCTCCAGGATCTGCTTTCCTCCTCATTTGGTGTCTACTGCACATACATTTTGTCAGTTTCCATTCATTGATGAAGAATTCAGATAATAGGTTTATTTTGTCCCTGCATTCCATTCTCTTCACTTCTGAATATAGATGAAGCCAAAATTGTTTTTCCTCAGATTTTTCAATAAAGATGCTATATATGGAAATATGGATGCAAGAAATATTTCTTGTATGTGCTTAATACTTAAATTTATTAAACCTAACCAAGATTCTTCATACGTACAAATGTATAACCCCTGAAAAAAACAACAGAATTTAGCAAGTTCAGCAGACATTAAGTAGTCATTTCTACAGTATTAAGAGCAAAATTCCTCTAACCAACAAAACACACAAATGTGGGTGCCCTTGTTTTGGATTAGCTGTATGGGCTGATTAGAACATTAGAACACTCATCTGAAAGGCAACCAGTAGAGCAAGCATGTGGATGGAACATTTCTATATTGTGGAAAGGGCTCAAGTTTGTTTCCGTAGCTACGATCCCTTGCTTTAGGCTGTCACTGTGAGAGGCATTTGAGCTGACCAGAAACGGGAAAGAAATTTAATGTTAAACACATAGAGAAGTTCTTAATTCTTAATGTTGGGAATAGATAATCCACAGAGTCAGATCTAGAAAAAGCTACCAATTGTGGGGGAGAAAGTGGGCAGAGGGAGAAACCCACGAGCATTGTCCTTGTTAGTAGATTCTTACTGTTTGGCTGTATGTCTAACATATCATCTCTCTCCTCACTCATCTCTTTTTCCTTTTTCTTTCCTGTCACACAGTGCATCATCCAAGGACTCATCTCAAAGCAAAATCATCCGCTTCACTCTGGGTCAGAAAAAGATCTCTAGGTTAGACTTCTCTGTGTCCTGCAAAGCATGGTCGAAGCCCAACCCACTGCTGTGTTCTTCCCTCTGCTCTGGCTGGCCTGCCCATTTCATGTTTGTGGTTCCAGAAAACGTATCGTGCTCTGGCTAATGACCCAATGGCAGTGAGTTTTGAGAGAGAGAGAGAGAGAGAGAGAGAGAGAGAGAGAGAGAGAGAGAGAGATTCATTGTAAATGAGGCTGACATCTACATGATCTCATTAATTTTTTTTGCCTTGGTCGCTTTGTCAGAATCCATTCTGATCTAGGGAGAGGTGAGTTTCTAGGCAGTTTTGATGGTGATTTTGTGCTGACTTTGCTCCCTGCTTCTTCTTGGCTCTAATCCCACCTCACCTGCATCTCATTTATGTGTGTTGTGCTTTTTGCAGTTGTTAAAATTACTAATATTGGTTCGGGTTTGCTCTTGAATTGTAAAAACCTGAAGCATGAATCCAAATTAGTCGAAAGAGATCAAACAGCAAGGCAGCTGTGAGGATACTTCAAGAAGTTTGTAGAAAATGGAATTAAAGGATTTATTTAGATGTAGGCAAAGCAGGTTAAGCCACTGCCTGTGACCTTGTGTGCCATATGGAACCAGTTCAAGTTGATTGAACTGTCAGCTGTACTTTTCATACAACTCTCTGCTGTTGCATCTGGGAAAGCAGCAGAGACTGTCCCAAGCACTGGGCCCCTGAAGCCACATGGGAGAGCTACCTGGAGTTTCGGGCCCTTGGCTTTGGCCTGGCCCAACCCTGGCCATTGCAGGTATTCGGGGGAGTGAATCAGTTCTGGAAGATCTTTCTCTCTGTGTTGCTCCTTCTCCTTCTGTAACTCTGCCTTTCAAGTAAATCAATAACACTTTTTAAAAAAATTTTAATTTTAGTTGAAAAATATTGAAATTCACATCTATAACGTATCTTCAAAAATTCATGAAAATGCACAAAATGTTGCATGGCTTAAAATTTTGACACCAAAAATAAAAGTTTCTTTGAATTCTGTTTTTCACAAACTTTCTGAATTTCCTCGCATGTGTCTTATGCATGTGGCTGTATCCTCTTGTTCTCTGGAAGAGACTGCATCAGTTTCCTAATAATTAAAATAGTTTTGTGTATACCTGCTTGGTCTCTTAAATCACACTGCATTATCTGCTACATTCTATGAGGATCTATTCTAGTAATGGGAAAAGCTACTGTTGTATTTGCTGCTACTTTAAAGTGTCAATAATAACCTTTACTGAATGCACCACTGAATTGCATTATCTTATTTCATCCTCATATTAGTCTATGAGGTGAGTCACGCTGTAGCCTCCATCTTCAGATGCATAAGCTAAAGCCAAAATTTACACAGAATAGGGGAGGATGGGAATTGGGGATCAGGTGATCTAACCCCAGCACCCTTGCTTTAACCACTGTGCTATACTCTCTTCCTTTTTCTTGAGTTCTGTTATTGATGTGTTTTTTTTTTTTCTGTCTCATAATTCAAACCTTCCTTTAGCCTTTCCCCTCACATTGCCTTTGAAGCATCCTAACAGAAATTGTTGCTGGGTAAAAAATTCCTCCTCATTATGAGTAATCAAGTATTTTCTCATTGAAATCTCATGTGAAGGCACCCTACAGCTTCATTTCTCATTTCATTTGGGTTACAGATACATACTGAACATCAGCTTGCTTCCCAGTATGCTCGCTTCTGGGTATCTTTTTTAGCCAGAGTTGACTTTCCTCAGAGGCCAGCTCTGAATCCAGCTGGCTGCTGAGGGAGGAGCTGCCTGGCAGTGTGTACCTCCAGAGAGTAAGTCGGTGTACTAGCCTTGCTTCGATGGGACAGGATGGGGGTTGTGTAGCAGACCTAAGTTCATCAGTGCCTGTTGTTGAGAAGCCAAAGAGAGGAAATGCTTTCTCTGAAAAACGGAGCAGCCACCCACTGCTCTGGCAAACTGTTGTCTTCCCGTTAATCGGTGTCCTGCAAAGGCTTAGGTATGGTGAAGCAAAGAGAAGGCAGAGCTTGGAAGAAACCTGAAATCTTGTGTCTGTTCCCACGATGTGCACTGTCCTGGAAGATAAAGAAAACGGGAGCTAGTTGGGAAAATATCTAATGGGAAGCACATGCCCAGCCCAGGAAGGCTTTGTTATCAGTTCCAGATGATGGAAGAAGGCAGAGGCTGGGAGGCAGTGGGAAGAGAGGAAGGAGAAGAGGGGGCATGTCAACTCCTCATGCTGCATCCAGAGCTGCCAGGTTTAAAGTAGAGGTCTAACTTCCCTGTAGGATTGCATGACCCTGGAGAGTTACTGGTGTGTGCATTTTGTCTCTTTTTTAGGCCATTAGAAGGGTGTCGCATTTTGTATCTTTTTAGGCCAGTGGAAGGATGTTGTTTCCTTATTTGCCTAATACTCTTTTTTTTTTTTACCTTATTCATTTGCACCTGTGAGTATGATTCTGACACAGATTTTAGCTGATTAAGCATTGCTATGTATGGCAGTAAGTTTAGTTACCGAAGAGAACAGCCTCACCCCCTCTAAGCAGGCTGCATCACCCAAAGATTTAAAAGTTAGTTTCTTGCTGGGACACAAATGATGATTCAGCACCAGCCAGGGAGAATCAAGATGGCGCAATAGGGTAAGGACATGTTCAGCACCAGCCAGAGTCCATGACCTTAATGAACACCAGGAATAATTAGCAAAGTGGCAAGCATCTCCAGTGAGCCCCAGGTGGGAGGCTTATTTTGTGTAGAGACAGAGGTACAGTCTCACCTGGGCAAGCTTTTCATCTCCATGACCCTGTGTTTCCTTTTTAATAAATAATTTTGTCATGAGTATTAGGATAAAGTGAAATCATTTTAATTTCTTAGCACCTGGCATATAATCACTGCACTATAAAGAAGCAATAGGGCAACTGTGGTGATTGAAATTGATCTGGGCAGGTAGACAGTCCACTTCTAGCAGATTGCACACCATGGAAGTCTATCTTGTGGGATGGAATCAGGGGGCTTGGCATTCAGCCCTCTCTGTCTTACTGCTGAAAAGCAGATGCCATGGGAGTTAGAGATTTAACATTTAATCATCTTGTCTGGCAAAACACATTTCAAGTTATGAGCCCCCCAGCATGTGCACACAAGCTGCCATTCTCCCTGGGAGGGGTCACCCTCTACTCCAAACCTTTGAAGTGGTTTAGGGGGAAAGAACTGCTTTCTCCCCATCATCACGTACAGCGCATGCAGCGAGGAAGCACTTGTAGGTGCTGTGCTAGGAATGACAGTTTCACTGCCCTGCTTGCTCGTCTCTGCACATGTTGGAGAAGTTGATCATGACTGTAGTAGCAGCAGGATTTTTTTCCTACCTCTGTTACACTGCTTTTCTTAAGTTGTTTTTTTTTTTTTAGTGGCATATCTGTTTCAGAGACTCCCATTGTGCCCTTTCATGTTCTAACTGTTTGGATGTGGATCTTGGAGCTGTTGGAACCTCCTGATGCTGTATGTGGTGCAACCTGCCACCCTCCTTTCTCAACATTTTTCTTTAGCAAGACAGCACAGTGGGCAACATGTGTTATACCTGCAGCTATACCACAGGAGCAAGACCTTCTCTATAGAAATTTTAATCGTAGTGCTGTAGACAGCAGATCCTTCCAGGGTAGGAGATGATAGAAGTTCTCATGATACATAAGAATGTTAACATTAATGAACTTCAAAATGTTAGCCAGACACCCAGGGTCTCATGTCACTGGTAAACTAGGAACTCTGCTCTCAGCCTCTCTAATTAATACCTCATCCCTGGAGTGTAGGACAAAGTGCAGGCTTCAAAGTGTGACCCACAAGGTCTTCCTTGCTCTGGACCTCCTTGCTTCTGCAGCCTCATTTCCTTCTCCGTCCCACAGTCCTACCATGTGCCAGCTTTTTTTTCTCTCTAGTTTTTTATAAGCCCTCCCTTTATGTGGGATTTTGACCTCCTAGCTCTCTAATCATGCTTCTAGTTCTCTATTCACTAAGCTGGTTCTTTCCCTAAGATGTTAAGTCTTATTTCAAATTTACAGCTATTTTGTTGTTATTATCGTTCCAAGTTTTCAGTGCAGAGTATGAATCCCAGAAATGTTAAACTTATGCCATGCCTTTTTGTGAAAATGCCACCTTCTAGTTGTCACATCACACTTCCTCACAGAGAGCCAGAGTGCTTCATTGATTGAAGCTGGTGCTTATCTCATACCTGAGGTGCCCAGAAGTCCTGCCGTGGTTCAGTGCTAGATCAAAACAATGGTGTTCTCCAGAAATTCTGAAATGCATGCCCTTTTCCCTCCTCATTGCTTTTTGCTTCCCAGTTCATTGCAGTTTCACCACTCAAGTCTAAATGCGATGACTTTCCTTACCCTGCACTGTTAATACCATTGCTGTGACATTATCTTGGAGCAAGCCTATAATCCTTTTCCAGACCTATCTGTGGACATAAAGGCTCTGCAGACTATGGCTGGGTTGCATGTGAGAATTCACATAACACCTACCTGAAGGACTTGGAGGAAATGGTTTGCATTGTATGGAGAACTGAGGGGTGGGTACCAGAACCCATTTGCTATATATATTTGATCACTTGTGCTAACTGAATCTAGTCCTCAACCATAGACAGTTACCCTGTGTTTGTACCCCATTCTGTCTGTCCTGGCACCCCAGGCCTGTCTTGATCGGGTGCATATCTTCTCCAAATAAGGCAGGGGAAATTAACAGAGGAGCAGATCTCCCAGTGCAGTGGGGAGAATGCCTTACAGTTCTAACTGCCACTTCCTGGGGGAAGAGGTTAACTCCCTCCATCTCTTCCAGCTCCCAGTCAAGGAATTGGGCCAGCATTTTAACTGTATAAATTTTATAGCCATCTAACACCAGCTTATGTTCTCTGTTTATTCTCCAGCCATCTTTCTTGCTCAGCCAACAAGAAAAAGTTGAAAGTGATTGCCTGCTTCCATCTAAAATACTTCCAGACCAAAGACTTCTTTGGTGCTTAGAGCTGCATGGAAAAAGAGAAGGTTGAAAGTTTTATGGGTTGAAAATTCAGAACTTATCACTAGACCTAATGCTAGTTGACTGAGATTCCAGTGGCTTTTAAACACAGCTAAGTGGGTTTTAGCTGAAAATATAATGAAATGTTTCGTCATTTTTTCATCTTTCAACTTTGATGATTGGAAACAGCCTGTTTCATGAGTCCCTGGACCAAAATTCAGATTTGGGGCAGTCTTACATTTAACTCTTTGGGGATTGAGCTGTGATGTGTTTAGACATATTACAAAGAAATCTGGTGGCTCTATTTCCCAAACCTCCCAAAATGAGGTGTTTTATTTCAAGGGAAAGTAGATGTTTGTCTTTATACTAACAGATTCCTGCTGATTTTACAGGAAGGGTGTATGATTTTATCCATCTACTCTATGGAAAAGTTGGGCTTCAGCCTTCAAGAAATGCCTACAGAGACAGGTTGTCAGGTGTTGAAGGGAAATATATGTCTGGACAAGTATTTCCCACTAGGCCTTAAGTTTTCGTTGCATATGTGTTGGGTTCTAAGTGGCAGTAATTCCCTTTCTTGATCCTTACATTCCTGAATCATGGCAAACACTGTTTCAATGCTCACCCCAGAGAAAAAGAAAGATAAGCTTTGTGTTTTTAATCAGCAATTGTATTCTTATATTTTCTCTTCACATTTTCTTTGTCCAAAGGAAAACTGTTTACATTTTGCTCTTGGACTTCACTGGAGATTACTAGCTTAATTGTTTATCGTGGTTCTACCAATTCCTTTACTGAAAAAATTCTACAGACCCAGAGTTTACAATGGTTTCTTCTGAACTCTGCATGACTGGAATTCTTTCTTTTGACACTGTTGTTTTCTTGAAACTGAGTGCATTACTCTGTTGCTTTTGCGTTTTAGACTCCCAGGTCCTACCACAAGAGTATCCGCTGCAGGCAGCGAGGCCAAAACACGTGGAGGATCAGCCACTGCTAACAACCGTCGCAGCCAGAGCTTTAACAACTATGACAAGTCCAAACCAATCACCTCCCCACCCCCGCCAACACCACCAAGCAACCATGAGAAAGGTGAGTCATCTTTTTAAGGGTCACATGGAAGCGCTTTCACAGAGTATCTATCCAGTTCCTTTGGGTGAATTTAATTAGAATCTGGGAAGGGTTGCTAATAGGATAGTGAGAATGGGTGACAACAACATCCTTGGCTGGCAGAAACTTTGTGAGCGGAAGGGAGAATTTGTGTTATGTGTGGCTCTCAACAAGAATAATTATGTGTTTGGGTGGAAGCTCCTAAGACACCTGGCCACAGACAGAAACATAGTATTTAGACTTTGAAAATAAACTATTGTAGAATATGCTCCACATGTTACATGGTTTTCAGAAACACAAGATTCCCGGGAAATGCATTTTCTGAGCTAATAAGCTCTCTACTTATCAGAAATGATGAGGGCAGTTAGGAACAAGGAGGTTTTCGCTCTTTTAAAAATCAGGAATGTGGGTTGGCTAAGTGCAAATCTCAGTTACAAATAAGGACTGGGCAACACTGGTCTCTGGGTTGTGATGATGTGATTCTTGCCTTAAAAGGATATGCTTTTTTCACTATACATAGTACTGAGCTTTGTAGATGGGAGAAAGAAAGGTAACTAGCTACTGTAGTAGCTTTCTGCACAGAAGCTGCTAAAATACCCTGGCTGGCTTCAGCCTGCATCTGTTGAGAAACTGAGGCGGGCTTTTAGAGATTTGTTTATTTGTTTGAAAGCCAGAGTTACAAAGTGAGATGGAGAGAGAGAAAGAGGAAGAGACAGGGAGAGAAAGAAGATCCTCTATCCACTGGTTCACTCCGCAGATATCCACAATGCCCAGAGCTTGGCTGAAGCCAGAAGCTAGCAGTTTCTTTTGGGTTTGCCACATGGGTTACTATTGCTGATTTTCTCAGGCCATCTGCAGAGAGCCAGATAGGAAATGGAGCAGCCAGAGCTAGAATCACCACCCTTATGTGTCACCAGCATCGCAGGTTGAATTTTTACCCACCATGAAAATCCACCAGAACATTCTCCCACTTCCCCAACTGCTTAAAAAAAAAAGATGTATTTATCTATTTGAAAAAGTTATAGAGAGAAATGAGACAGTTTTGGAGACTCTTTCCTAAGAAGCAATGCTGTCCTCTGTTCCAGCCAGGCAGAGTGAGTGAACCTTCTTTGAGGAGATATGCTCAGTCTCCTGGAAATCTCTCCTGCCTGATAGTGTGGAGGTTGCCCATAACTGTCCCTCCACTCGCCTGAGGCCCAGGGTAGCTGACCTTCCCGAAAGTGCACCAGGGCCTGTGTGCTCCTCCTATGGCTATAAAGGAGCCAAGAACTTGCCCATCTACTCCTGTAACCCAGAATCACTGGTTCAGCAGATAATCAGTGCCTTCCCCTGAGTAAGTAAACCTGTGAAGGACATTTATGTTGGGCTGACGATGGGCAGCAGGGTTCCCACCTCCTGACACTGGGAGCCACACTGGGAGCTGAAACCATAGCAAGGATGTCTCAACTGGTCAAGAGTTTTTGTGATCCGGCCCTTGGTTTCTGCCTACAGCAGACCATTTTTATTTCGTTGCTCTTTTTGCCTATTCCCTTTACTCCTTTTTTTAAGGATGCCCAAGTGTATTATGTTTAAGTGTGTTCAAGTTACAAAAAAATGAGCTTATAAAATGGTATGCATCCAGACACATACGTACATACATATATGTATATGTATTCTCAAATCAAGGTTCTCTTTTATGTGTTTCTTCAAAATACCAATATAGAACATCCAACACATGGAACTCGCTACTTTCCCACTACATTTATATATGTGTTTGCAGATTTATCCTTATCTGTCTCTGCAGATAATTTTTATTCCTCATATCAATGAATAAAAGCTCAAATTTTTGAGCATCAAATATGCACCTTGTTTTAGCACCATTTTACCAAGAATTAAAGCCAAAAAAAAAAAAAAAAACAATCTAAGTCACTACTGAGGTCAGCCCAGTGATGGTAAGAGGATGAACTGGCTTTGAGATGAAGTGTTTCAGTTCCAGAACCCAAATCAATACTGTTCTCTCCTTGGATGGAGGAGGCAAATACCTGGGCCTTAACTGTTGAGGTTTGGCTGGAGATGTGCCAGTGCCTACCTAAGCTAAGAGGAGGAACGTGCTTGATCAGACCCATTTAGGTCATGCCCCCTACAGGCCGGTTCATTCTTATGCTTTGGTGCTTTGGGGAGATGCTATCATAAAAATGTCTGAAAGACGAGCATGAGACCAAAGTCCAGAAACCAAGAATATGAAGGTATAAGTTCCTAGTAGAGGGCATAAATGTGGGGAAATACTCCATTGCAGAATCCACCACAAATACAAGGCCACTGGGTCAGCCCAGGCAAGAGCTGCCCACTGTAGCCACGGTAGCCACAAATCTGTCCCTGTGGGGAGAGGAGATTCCCATGAGTGTGCCAGGTAGCTGAAGAGCAGTAAATTTTTCTTAAAAATGTATTTTTTGAGAAGCAAAGAAAATAAAAAAGATGAACGATTGAGCAAACATGAAGGCTGTCATTCAGTGCCAGGCCAAAGCAGCAAGTCATAAGCACCATCTGGATTCCCTATATGGATGGCAGAGATGAAGTATTTGAGGAATGGTTGCTGTCAGGCTGTTTATGTCAGCAGAACACTGGAGTTAGGAGTCAGAGCCTGGACTTCACCTAGGTACTCCAGCAAGAGATATGGGCATCTTAACCACGGTCTAACTGCTAAACAAAATGCCCTCTCCAAGAGCCCACTTACAGGACTGTTGTCATGAATTCTGAGAGATGCAGTTCCCCAGAAAGAGACTTCAGTGTCAGAGGAAAGAAATGCAAGTCAGTCTTATTTATAGAGCATATGCTGTATGCTGGAGGCCTTGCAAACTTTCCGTGAGGTATATATTGTCAACTCAGTTTCCAGATAGAGAAAGTAAGGCTAATTGGAATTAGGCCATTTGCACTAGAATTTATTTTTTTAATTTATTTTTAATTTTAGATGATGCTTATTAACATAGTTGATCAGAGTGGGATGGATCAAGGGTTAGGAAAAAGTGGGTGTGATCATTGTTTCCAAATTTTCTACTTTTCCTTATTGTTTTGGGAGGAAGGGGAAGATAAGGGAAGAAGCCATACCCAGCCTCCCAACTGCTCTAGTATCCAGGGATGGAGAATGTCCACCTCATATCAAGCCAGGGTCCCAATGTAGTGCATACACCTAAGGTTCTGTCTAGGTGATTTTGGTACTTCTAAAATGTTGCCGATCTCACCGATCCCAGGATGAGGAGCTCCTTTTAATGTCCACTGGCTAACGTAGTTGGCCTCAAGAGTCTCTACTCACTCACGTATTTGCTGTCATCATTGGGCCAGGGTAGTTGTCCAATTTGTTCTGTCCTCCTTCTTCTGAGATGGTACAAATATCCCCAGCAGGGCTCAATGGGCTGCCATATCCTATATGTGGGGAAGTCAGACTTTTCTCTTGAAAACCGTGCTGCCTCCTGCTATCATCACCGAGTTTGATTCTGGTTCCATGGAAGCTGAAAACAAGGGACTGATAATACTTCTTCCCTAGGGGGCAAAAGCTGGAATCTCACACAGAATTCCATGACTGTCGTGTAACATGCTGACCAAGTGTACACAGAAAGCAAAAATTTTCCTGGTTTCCCAGAGACTGACCTCCAATTGGCCTGTGAGATTTGGAGGGAGATCTACACATCTTCAGGAGCCCCTGCTAGCTGTCTGTTTTATCATCATCTTTGACTGACCTGGGCAATTTGTTAGCAGACTGGCTGTGAAAAGCCAGTGCCCAGGGATGCTTGGGATGTGTACGGCTTGCCTGCTTCCCTTGTTGGTTAGGAGTGGCCGGAGTGGTTAGGGTTCCAGACTAGAATCTTACATTTTTAGAGCAAGGACATAGCTGTTGTCCTAAGGATTTGTGACAGTTTCTAGCCCTTCTATCCTTTAGCTTGCATCTTCTGAATAGACTAACTCTGCCAAGAATCTAGTACATTTCTAAATTATCATATGAATTTGAAGCATTTGGTGTTCCTAGACTGGCTTATATGCATATGCAAGATGCCGTCTCCTGAATAATGCAATTTTCTTTATTTATAGAACAGCTCCATGCCTTTATTATATTTTCATTACAAAAATAATCATGTTAAATGTTAAAAATACAAAAATGTCTTAGAAGATAAAATATCCTATATAATCCTGTGTCCTAGAAACAGCCACAATTTACTGCTAAGCTTCTATTATTTAATATGTATATGCTATCATTTTAATAGATAACACTTCCCTAGTGATTCACTGCTTGTCAGATGACTTGTTAAAGTACCTAATAATTATTTGTTCAATTCTTCAGGATATATATGTATATACATACATACATTCATATAAAAGTATGAATAGAAGTCAGTGTTTGGCCTTGCTGTGAGGTTGCCTATTGGGATGCCTGCATCCCATATTAAAATACCTGGGTTATGCCCATTGGCTCTGGCTTCTGATTCCAACTGCTTGCCTCTGTAAACCTTGGGAAGAAGCAGTGCTGGTTCAAATGGTAGCAATGCTGCCACTCACTCACTTGGAAGTTCCAAACACCTAACTTCAGCCCTGGACAGGGAGGTTGTCCAGAAAGTAAGCCAGCAGATGTCAGTTCTTCTTTGTTTCTGTCTCCCCTAACAAATACGTAAATGAGTAAGACTTTAGATAAACAAATGAAATCACCAGTCACATACAGCAATCTTTTGTCATCATCGTTGTATAGTATCTGTTGTATGGATTTACCTTAACCACCTTCATTTATGGCTTCTATTTTTGATATTAGAGATACATAGATATAATATGTAGTTATAGCTATTTTTGATATTATGGATATATTTATGTCTTTTCACATGTATACAAGCAGCAGTGAAATCACTGCATTAAAGTACACATAGCACTTTCAGTTGTTTTAAGACTTTAAATTTGTATTCCCCAAGGGTTGGACCTATTTATATTGCCAGTGCTGGGCTAGTTTCCGTATACTTGAAACT